TATATATTTATTTATTTTTTAATTGTTTTTATACACTGAAAAAATGGTAACCTAAAATAGTAAAATGTAAATTACTGGTTTTATTCAAGTCAAAAATAAATTCAAAGGCTAAATCATGATAGAAATAACTCTTTTACAGTGCACAAATATAATATACACTTATATTTAGCATGATATTAAAATTTTTGGAATAATCAAGATTTTTTTATGTTTTTGAAAGGTGTCTCTAAAGGCTGCATTCATTTGATCAAAATACTGTTAAACAGTTAATAATGTAAATTATTACAATCTAAAATAAATGTTTTCTATGTGTGTGTGTGTGTGTGTGTGTGTATACACATATATGTGTGTATATAGACAGACAGACAGATAGATAGATAGATAGATAGATAGATAGACAGATAGATTAAATATGACAGTTGCATTATCAAGAGAAAAAAAATGAATCAGACATTTTTCATAAACCCAAACTCTTTCTGTGTTTCAGTACGGTAATTCAGGAGGGCCCCTGGTGAACCTGGTAAGATTTTTGCTTTTTGTTATGATGTCCTCCTCATACGTAAATAATGAAACTAGGGATGCACCGATACCACTTTTTCCAGTACTCGCCCGATACCGATACTTTTATTTTTGGTACTTGCCGATAAAATAATGAAACCAGCTACAGTCTTATGTTTTAGTGGATTAACAGGAGTAACAGAATGCAGCCAGGGTTGATAATGTTTACAGCATGTCTTTATGAGGCTAGAAACATATGTTGGCAGAAAGGCTCTGTGTTGAGTCAGCCGTGATCGTAATCACATGTGTGCATGCATAATGATCAATGGCGGAAACATCCCATTGTGACAGGAAGACATCTGTGCATGCAGATGTGCGGTATGTTTGTGTGTGTTCACATTTATACTTGTGTATTCACTCTTGTGTCTGATGCTGTAGGATGGTGAAGTAATAGGAATCAACACGCTGAAGGTGACAGCAGGAATATCCTTCGCTATTCCTTCTGACAAGATCCGACAATTCCTGGCTGAGTCTCACGACAGACAGGCTAAAGGTCAGGAGCAAAATGAGCAAAATCTGAAACTCTTACATTGCCGATTAAAAGTTTGGAATAATTCAGATTTTTGAGTGTTTTTGAAAAGTCTCTTATGCTCACCAAGGCTGCATTTATTTGATCAAAAAACAGTAAAAACCACAATAATGTAATATTATTACAATTTAAATTGGTTTTCTATTTGAGCTTATTTTAAACTGTGATAAATTCCTGTGATGGCAAAGTTGAATTTTCAGCTTTTATTCAGCATGGATGCATTAAAGGGATAATTCACCCCAAAATGACAAATCTGTCATCATTTACTCACCCTAAAGTTGTATGAGTTTCTTTCTTCTGTTGAACACAAAAGAAAATATATTGAAAAATGTTGGTAACCAAACAGTTGCCAGTAGCCATTGACTACCATAGTATTTTCTTTTTTTCTTTTTTTCATACTATGAAAATAAATGGCTACCGGCAACTATTTGGTATCTTAATTACTCCAAACCTTTGACCAGCAGTGTATTTGAGTCAGATTTATAGTATAAATCAATAACTATCTCATATTTTGTTTTCAGGAAAAACAGCCCCAAAAAAGAAGTATATCGGTGTAAGAATGATGACATTAACCCCAATGTGAGTCACAAATGCAGTGCATGTGTTTTCTTAATACTGTAGTGTGTGTTATTATGGAAAAACATATCATTTCAATTTTATTATCCATTATACATATACATAGCAGAAGCTGGATCCAAGAAAACATGACATTTGTGTCTGTACTATGAATCTGTCACTCACAGACTTGCTAAAGAGCTAAAGGAAAAGCAGAGTGATTTCCCAGATGTCACCTCTGGAGCGTATGTCATTGAAGTTATCCCGAAAACACCAGCTGAAGTGTAAGTAGCCCATCGCATGTAGCCACTAGTCTTCCACAGTTAACCAAGCATTTTAAACACGAAAAGTGGAGTTACATGCAAGAGTGAAATCAGGTGGTTGGAGGGACTGAAAAATAACAGGGATTTGTAACATTATCTAACAGATTTAAAAAAAAAAAAAAAATTTGTTTTTTTGCCATTGTATGCTGTCCAGCAGTGTCATATTTGATGCTCTTTTAACCATACAGATGCTCTATTTGAATACATAGTGGTTTAAACAGTTTTGAGCTTTCCAAAATGGCCATCTTCCTGCTGAGGCAGCAGTGCTTTCTCTTTTTTTTTATTTCCCTTAGACAGAAGTTAAAAGTTTTTATAGCTAAAATTAACTTATGGGATTTCATTGTGTGCGGGTGAACGTTGACTCACAAGTCCGCACAATTTTAGCTTTTATGAGATGATGTGAACAGTACATAAGTGACCACTTCCTGTCATTGTGGGTAACCAATTTAGAGCAAAATGAGTTGAATGCTGAAGCATACGGGACTTTATTTATTTTTATTTTTGTAAATGTACATATGTACAGTTTGTGGCTAGAATCTACAGAAGATAACCATGAATTAGAGCATAATCAGTAAAATGTAGCATTATTTCAAATTCGACTAGGGCCGACTTTCATATTCAGCTGTTTCAAACAGTGTTGAAATTGGTCATTCTCAGGAAATGGTGGTGCCGTAACTATGAACATTTTCAGTTTTTCAAAAAAAAAGTTTATATATATATATATATATATATATATATATAGCCTATAAAAAAGAGCCATACCCTGTGATTAGCCCTCAACCATTCATCAGTTCTGCCCACCTAGGAAGATAATGAGGACCGAGTACGTAACCCTGATGTATACCTCACACACACACTACCAGTCAAAAGTTTTTTAACAGTAAGATTATTAATGTTTTTTAAAGAATTCTCTTCTGCTCACCAAGCCTGCATTTATTTGATCAAAAATACAGAAAAAGCAGTAATATTGTAAAATATTTTTACAATTTAAAGGTGACATATTATGCCCCTTTTTACAATATGTAATATAAGTCTCTGGTGATTTTCTGAGCGCACACATCCGAAGCACATGGAGAGAAAGCGGCTTTCACAGCACGTGAGTACTAAACTAAGTTTTCATTCACACACAAGTTTACGTTAAAAACACACGTTACATTAAAAAATGTTGAAACAGCATGGCTGAATAGAAAGTTCAGGGGTGAAAAATTTCAGAATGCTAAAAGCATGAAGTATTTTATATATAAAAAATTTTTTTTAATTTGTTAGTGTTTAATGTTACATGAATATAAATGTTAACATAATGAATTACTGATAAAGACTGAAAGAAAAACTTTAACTTAAATATGATGTCAGAAAGATCAAACCATTTTTAAATGAGAAATGTCAAAACATAACAGGATTGATCAGAAAGTGTAGGAATGCTTATTTCAGGAATGAATATTTACATAAAACCATATCAGCACTATTTCCTGAGAATGAGCAAAGATATTGTGAAACAGAGGACAAATTAGTTTCTCACTGAACAATCAAGATTAAAGTTAGCTTAATGACATCACCTTCTAACACTACCCAATACTGTTTTGTAATGAGAATCCAATCATGTGAAGCCAATAAAAGCACAGTAACTGCTTCCTGTTTTGTTTGCTAGTGGCGGTCTAAAGGAGAGTGACGTCATAATCAGCATTAACGGTCAGAGGATCACGTCAGCCAGTGACGTCAGCACGGCTATCAAGAAAGACGACAGTCTGAGAGCAGTGGTACGACGTGGCAATGAAGACGTCATCCTCACAATCATTCCTGAGGAGATTGACCCTTGACCTCCCTCATGCTCACCCATGAGCTGGTTCTCAGACTTTTACTGAGTGTGTCCGGAGCCACACTCATTCTAGAAATCATAGTGAACACTTTCCAGTCCAACCATCATCCAACCTGAATATTGTTCTCAGCTTAGAACAGGAAATGTCCTTTTTCAATTTTCCCCATATCTCTCTTGTCTATTTTCTGTTTATTCATTAACAAACCATGTTAGAATGAGCCCTTTGCAAATAAATATGCGAATTTAGTGCTGGCTAGTTCACTATAACACTCCGAAATGTATATAATCTCTCTGTTCCAAAACCTAGTAAGCAGCCTATAGGCAGGATTTTGTGATGAGCAGAATGATTCCATTCAAGATGGTGAATGAAGAAGGTAAATGTTGATTATAATCTTATATTTTATTAATTACTGAAAAGTATCTTCTAAAATAATTCAGTGTAATTAAAAATAATTGTTTTACCCAATTTTATGTGTGCAATTTATTTTTATGAAAATTACGAAAATTAACCATGGTTTTATTATATTATAATATTTTTTTGTTTTAATTAAAAATTTTTTTGGTGGATTGATTGCCATTTGTATAACCATAGTTTTACTACAAATACCACGGTTAAACTATGGTTAGTGTAGCAAAACCATGGTTCATTTGTGGTTTAACATCAATAACTGTGATTTTTTTGGTTTTATTTAAAACTATAGTTAATTTTTGATAGCACATTTATGCAGTGTAGATGTCTTTTTGATGTGCACTTTTCATCTTGTTTCAACTGCAGTACGTCTGTCTCTAAAATGTTTCCGGTCAGAGGTTAAAAAAAAGACGTCGAAAATGTCTTTAAGATGTTTATGGTTTAGAATGTATGAAAACAGATGTCTTGGAAATATATGTGTGCTATCTGGGTAGAGTATTATGGTGTTAGCTTAGCAACATGCTAACGGCTAACGTCTCAGGTTACTTATGTAACCATGGTTCCCTGAGTAGTGAACGAGACACTGCGTCCTCTAGGGGTCGCTATGGGGAACGCCTCGTCGTGACCCGTGTCTGAAGCATACATTGAAAAGACAAGAACTCGTTGGCCGGCGACAGCCATGACGTCACTACCGGTGCGACTATAGTATAAATAAGCGCCGGGAGCACACATCATTCACTTCTTCATCTGAAGCTTGCGTCCGCAGCATGGGCATCCGAGCGAGATGTCAAGGAGGGGAGTCTTAGAGGTCAAAATCTGCCTCTTCCATTATTTCTCAATCTTTATATGGAAAACAGGAAGAAAAAGAGGATCGCGAAAGAGAAAACCCCTCTTCAAACTCATCAGCCAGATCCACCTGCGATCCCCACGAGCTCATTCCCTTCCGTGCCTCAGCAGCGG